CCCAGGGGAAAAATCAGCTTTGCCCCCATTTGAAATTTAGGGTCTTCATTCTGTGCATGTTTGTGCTGGCTTTTTGTTTGAGCCAGTCATGACATCTGCCTGGTTCCTTTAAAGTAAATGAAATAACATCTGAAAACGTGAGTCCTTTTTTTGTATGTGTGAGTCATGATTTTAACTGGTTTTTGAAAATTATCTTTAACAGTAGTTACAGGTGTGTCAATCTGGAAGGAGTTTTTTTTTTTTTTTTAAAGATGTTAAATGGACACTTGCGGGTGGGGGTTAAAAAAAAAGATGTTAAATGGAAAAATGCAGGATACACATGTGACAGTTTATATAAACTTTTTTTTTTTTTTTTGGTACCTGGGATCAAACTCACAACTTTGTGCTTACTAAACAAGCACTTGAGCTCCTGAGCTAAATCCCCAGGCCATATACAAACTTTTAAGCACATATACACATATAGATGTTTACAGACACAAGACTGAGGGCAGGGGAGAGAAAGTGACAGGGTGGCAGCTGCTGGGGGCAGAGGGGTGCGGTGGGGAGAGACAGAGTTGGAGTTGACTAGAGACCCCTGGCTACATTTCCAAGGGTTTCTACATAAACAACCAGAAGCAAACATCAGGTATTAGCAACACTAACTTCTCAGTGACAGAAAAATGGCTGTCACTCATATTATTTACATTTGTTGTTCCTTATAAATTCCGTAAGAAAAACAAAAGGATTCTGAAGTGCTTAGTTACGTGATGTCTCACCATCCGCACCATACAGACAGGCAGGACTCGACATACAAAGCTGGGTTCCCAAGGAGAACTGGTCAAGTGAGGCTCTGGACCTCATGTGGACCAAAACAATGTTATACCTGTGAGGTTCCCAGCCAGTTTTCCCAAACCCCACCGAATGACTCATGTACCAATGCTAATCCTGACAGAGCATTTCTCACCTCCTCTGGTTATGAAATTATGAGGGCTGAGGATATGGCAAAAAGATCAAGAGTTCAGGTGAGGTCTACTAGTATGCCAGAAGTTACACCTCCTTAACAGGACATAGTATATATGTATGCTGTGTGTATATGCGTGTGTGTGTGTGTGTGTGGTCTCTACATATGGAATGTAATAGATTTGCTGAACACACACACTCTCTCTCCCTGCCTCATACACACACACAATATATATATATATTCATATTATCTATTTTAGTGTATATATATATTTATATATATTTTAGTATATATATATACTAAAATAGATAATATGAATAAACAGATTTTTCAGTGCTGGGCATTGAACCCAGAGCCTTTGCACTAATCTGTATCCCTAGCCCTTTTAACTTTTTCCTTTTAAGAGTGTCTTGCTGGGCATTGTGGCACATGCTTGTAATCCCAGCACTCAGGAGGTTGAGACAGGAAGATTGCTATGAGTTTGAGGCCAGCCTAGGCTCCATAGGGAGTTCAAGGCCAGCCTGAACTACACAGTGAGACCCTTGTCAACAACGTGGCGAGGGAGAGAAAGAGAAAGGCAGACAGAGAGACTAACTCCCTAAATTGCTAAATTGTCCAGATTGGGCTTGAATTTGCAGTCAACCTGCCTCAATCTCCCAGAGGGCCGAGATTACAGGCACGCACCACCACACTCAGCTATCAATATATATTTCTATATTTATACATATACACACATATGCACCTCTGTGTATTAATTTGTATTTTCCAACAGCAAAGAGATTGTGTTAAACTCCAGGAGCCAGAGATGAAGTGACTACATGCTGTCTTCAAGATTTAGGTGCCCTGGCAACACTGAAGTAGAGATGTAATGAGCTGCTTACATTGCCAGCATCTCTGTTAGAAAGATGGCTCATGGGTTGTTTTTTTTTCTAGAAATCTGAGTGAGAAGCAAAGAATATTTCCACCCACTCTTGCGTAGTTAAAACCAGCAACTTCATATGTAAAGCCCAACTTTACAGCACGGCCAGTCACTTCCTTTTTTCCTATAGCTGCACCTCTTCCCCAGAGGAGGCCCCTTTAGAGAGCAGATTTGCTACCTGACACTTACGATTCCTTCTTCTTAAACTGTGCTAAAAGAGACATTAATATGATAAATGCAAAACAAGATTCTTCCTTTTCTCTGTTTTGTTTTGCTTGCAGTGCTGCGATCTAATTGAAGGCCACTGAGCTACACTTCTTGCCTCAAGATTCTTTCTTTACACAGGTAAGTATCTTTCCCAGAGTGGGGGAAAAGTCACATTATAATCAGATACTTACAAAGTATCTATTGCTGAGGTAAGTTTGTTTCAATTCCTTTAGTTTAGAATACAAAGTTGGGTTGCAGTTGACACAGTAGCCTAAAACAAACTCCCTCAAGGTCTAATTTTGGCTCGTTTGGCTAATGGTATTAGTGAAAAAAAGATGAATTAAACACAGATGTAGTAATTATTCCTGGGGATATAAATTCATGTATCGATGTGTAAATTACTATTATAAACCAGTCTCAGTTTTTTAAAGTAATAAAGTGATTAATTTCTCAGTTATTACTAACTAGACACAGATATGACCAACTGGACACACTGTGAACAGTTTTACTATTATGAAAGTGCAATGCTGTAACTTGGAATAAAATAGTCAGTGACAGCTGGGTATGGAGGTGCACATCTGTAATCTCAGCAAAAAGGATGGGGCAGGAGGAACACCAAGTTTGAGCCCAGGATGGGCAACTTAGCAAGAACCTGTCTTGAAATAAAATTTAAAAAAAGACTGAGTAGGTAGCTCAGTGCAAAGGCCTTGGTTGGGTTCAATTCCTAGTACCATCAAAAAAAGGAATAAACAATGCATGTGAGGAATTTTAAAGTGCAATGTTTGACAAGAGAAAAGCAGTATTTTCAAATTAATGTTATTTTATGAAGTATGCTGTGATTTTCTTTCCTTTTTTTTTTTATACTGAGGATTGAATCTAGACCTTTGCACACAGTAGGCAAGTGCTTTTACCTGGCCTAGATACTGAGACAAGGACTGGCTAAACTGTGCAGGTTGGTGTTGAGTTGCTGTCTTCCTCTCTGTCTCCCAAGTAATCATGGATGTGCTCCACCATGCCTCGTGTGATGTTTTATTTTTGTATGTGCTGGGGATCAAACCCAGGACCTCAGATATGCTAGCCAATTACTCTACCACTGAGCTACATCCCCAGAAAGTATACAACTTTTAAACCAGTAAGGGTATATTTATTTAGAGTGCTGAGAACTGAAGCCAGTCCTTAGGCATGCTAAGCAAACGCTCTACCACTGAGCCACATCCCAGTCTCCGCACCTAAATTTAAACGTACATTTTGCTGGTGGATATTTGGTTTCATTTGGTTTATTTACCTACACACCTAAAAGTACAGATGTTTTCAACTTAACTTAAAAACATTTTTCTGAAAATCAGGGATATAGCTCAGTGGCATAAGTGCCAGCCTGGCAAGCACAAGGTCATGAGTTCAATTCCCAATACCAACAAAACAAAACATTTCTTTGGTCTTTTTTTTTTTTTTTAATGTGTGGATGTATGGGGGTTTGTTTGTTTGTTTGCTTGCTTGCTTTTGTCTTTTTGAGACAGGGTCTCGCTATGCAGTTCAGGTTGGCCTTGAGCTCACTTTGTAATGCAGGCTGGTCTTGAACTTACAATGATCTTCTTGCCTCAGCCTCCGAGTGCTGGGACTACAGGTGTGCACCACCACATATGGCCCTTTTTTGAACTTTTTTTCTTTTTTAGGGTTCCACTATGTAGTGCAGGCTAGTCTTGAATTCACTATGTAGCCTAGACTGGCTTCAAACTCACAGTGATCCTCTTGCCGTAGCCTCCCGAGAGATAGGATTACAGATGTACACCACCACACCACTTTTTTGGATTTTTCATTGGGAAAATTTGATATTTGAGATTGCATTATAGTTGGACAATATGGCATAGGCTGAATTTCAATAAAATTAAGCTGATGCACATAAGTGGTCTATTGAGCATGTAACCAAGTCATGCTATTTCCTTTTACTAGTGGCATAAAAGACCGGAAAGCTTGATCCTACAGAACAACTTATTCCACCTCGTTACCAGTCTTTCAGAGACTGTACCACGAAGTGCATCCACAGCAGAGGGCTGGGATTCTTTCCTGGGACCTGTCAGGCCCTCCTTTGAATCAGGGATCACAGCACTTGCAGAGTATCTGGAGCCACACCCAGAGGGAGTCACACCTACTACACCCATGTTGCGCTCTCCATTCAGGTAAGGGGACCTTGTCCCCACTGTCCCCAGGGAAGCCTGGGTCTCTCCTAATGAGTGGGCCCTCCTACTGAAACAGCTGCCCCTCTCGCCACCAGTCATCCTGCCTCCGCAGCCCGCAGGCTGGCTCCTGCATTTCTGCACAATGCACTCGTAATTCAGCGCGCTAGGACTGCTTGGGTACATTCTTTCTCTCTCTGAAAGAATTTGGAGAACAGGGATCAAGAGTAATAATTCTTTTACATTTCCCTCAGAGTTGATTGTCACTTGATTAAATTTTTTTAATTTTAGGAAACTTTTATTAGTATATGCTTGCAGTACACACTGATTCCATTCATTACGGGGAGCTGGCACACTGTCATAGCACATCTTAATTCTTCCCCACTTGGTTCGCTCGTCACTTGACTGAATGTCATCTAATGACATTATGCCATTTCAAGCAAAGGATGCCGTGAGCTCTGTTCACGGCAAACTCAAAGAAAAACAGGACTAGGATCTATTGCAAACCAGTGTTTGGCAAGGCCGGTGCCTCTGAGACCTTCAGTACTAACCTACTGGCCTGAATCGCAGAGCGGGCTGCTTGCAAATGGCCCACTGCACACGGCACAGTGTGGAAGGCAGGCACTGGCTCCTAAATCATGTCCCCACGAGCACACTCTGAGTGACGTGGAGCACTGCTAGTCAGATTGTGTCACTCCCCTATTCAGAATCCTCTGATCACAGTGAGGCTGAGTCCAAACAGGAAACAGATGGCATAAAGTGGGAGAACTGAGGAAGTTTATACGCAAACTATTTACATGGTGTGGGCTGGTGTGGGGAACCCACAGGAGAGTGCAGCACTGGCGCTGGGAACTTAGGATCCCCTCCTAAACCACAAGGTGTGAAGGGAAGGAGTGGAGAGGGTGACAGGAGCTCCACGGAGCAGGCATCTCGGAGGAGACGTGACCTTTAGCCCACAGAAACACCAGCCTTGCTACCCTGCAGGAGAGAAGAAGCACATGGATCTCAGTCTTCCCCGCCTCATATCCTAGCAATTCTTGCATGGCCAAGTTCAACCAGCAGCACTAGGAGGGGCCCATCGGTGCAGGTCCACCTGCTGGGCACTGCTACACAGCAGCGAGGAAAAGTAACTCCTGGAGGTGAACGGAGCTCTCCAGCCAAGAGGCTTCCTCTCTCGGCAAGGGCCCTTTTAATAATGTATATTGCAGCCTGGATGGCTGTGTTAGCCCATCTCATCTCCTCCTGCCATGGGTCCTTTGTATCTGCGTAACTCTTCCATCACATCTAGGTGTGACCTGCTTCGTCACATACTTCTATCTCAGATCGGATGTAAAATCATCAGTTTGCCCTCACTACCATTCCTGGAGCACCCTATCCCTTCATCCTGCTTTATTGTTCTACACCTCACGTCTGTCTGTCTCTCTTCCCTTCCCTCCATTATTGTGGTGCTATAGATGAAACCTTGGGCATGCTGAACCCTACCACCTAGCTATTTGCCATCCCTGGTACTTTTTTTTTTTTTCTTTATTAACTTTATTAACTGCCTCCCTAACCTGGAACAAATTTCCTAAAAACATCAAATTGATTTTCTTTGTTCACTGACTGATGCTGAACAGTGCCCAGCACATAAAAGGCACTTAAGTATCTGTAGAATGAATCACTAGAATAGAAGGACCCACAGCAAACTTACAAGATTTAACTGTTTTCAAAAAATTATCTCACAAAGTCTCCTGATAATCAGGTAGAAATTGAGCATTTGTTTTTATAGCAATGGCACAAAATTGAGTAGATAGTAAATCACCATGAATAAATGGAAGTTTTGGTCAAGACCAAAAGATAGCTGTGTTTGGTGGCACATAACTGTGACCCCAATGCTCTAAGAGGCTGAGGCAGGAGGAGGCAAATTCATGCCTAGGCTAGGCATTAAAGCAAGACCCTCTCAAAATAAAAATTTTAAAAACGTCTGGGAATGCAGCTCAGTGTGAAGGACTGTGTTCAATTCCCACTGCCCCAACCCTGCCAGGGTAACAGTATTCTCTGTAAACAACTCCTCCTCCTAAGTTGTTATTTCTGATCAATGTATCATTACTACCCTACCAATCAGTACTTCTCTCAGTCTTCTCATATGTAAAATGTGTAGGAGTTAACAAACATAATGTGGTTTTTTGTTTCTGTTTTGAGACAGGGTATAGCTATGCAATGCAGGCTGGCCTTCAGTTCATTAGCTGCCCCCCGCCCCCCGGCTTTAAATTCGTGGCCATCCTCCTGCATCTGCCTCCTGAGTGCTGGGATTACAGCTATGCACCACAATGCCCAGTTGACTGAAAGACAATGCACAATGCTGGGACCAAATAAATGGTCATTACAATAATTATTAAAACACTGAGACAGGAGCCAGGGATATAGCTCAATGGCACAGTATCAGCCCTGCAAGTACATGGTCCTGAGTTCAATTCCTGGTACCAAAAAAAAAAAAACTACTAACAAAACACTGAGGCAATCACATTATCTTCCCCTTAACTGCAACAGTTCATCCTGGACTTTTAAAAAGTGAATTGCAGTAACAACATGGTATAGAAACATAAGATAATGTACTTTTCTATCATACCAACTGCCCTCATTTCTGAAAGAGGCTCTATAATAACAATCAGAACCTAGTATTCCTCCTAGCATTCACCTTGACCTACCCCTCTTCAGATCACAATGTAGTAACCATTTTGAACTGCTCTTTATTCCTACTCAGCATATAAGTATGTTTTTCAACTAAGCAAACAGGAACTCCAGCAACCTTCTTTAAAAAAAAAAAAAAAAAAAAAAAGCAGATTAGAAAAGCTCCTGAAAACAGATCTCTTTTATTTGCCTCTCTTAACCATGAAACTCTCGGGCAAGAGGCTGGCAAGTTTAAGCCCAATCTGGGCAATTTAAGTGATTCAGTGACCCTATCTCAAAACTTCAAAAAGGGCAGGGAATGTAGCTTACAGCGAAGGTCCTTGTCTCAATTCCTTTCTCTATATTAACAGATTTCCTCTGATTCCCTTTTCTTCCCGTCTAGATCTCTATCTGCTAGATCAATTCAAGCAGCTATAATGTAATCTCAGGGGCTGGGTCTGACCCCATAGTCAAAAGGCCAGAGCAAAAGAAAAAGGCCTGACCTGGATCAATTCAACCCTCCATCATTTGGGAACACTGCAAAGATCCTGTAGGATTTTCACCCACAACAAAGGTTTTTTGTTGTTGTTGTTGTTTGTTTTTTTTGCAATCTTTGGCCAAGACTTCTGCAGGGCACACTGGGGGGTTAATTAACCTGGGGGACCTACATTCAAAAGGTAAGGGTTTCCATGAAACATAAACCTCCAGTTAAAATACTCCCTGGGATCCTATGTGTATGACTATATGTTTAAGCCCTTGTTTTGATTAAAATTTATACTTACAGCTATAACTATAATAATAATCACTGCTATTGACTGTACCTAAATAGAGGCTTCCAGCTTCAGGTGTGAAAGACAAAGTAAGTCCCTCCAAGGTTAAGCCTGCAGACTGATCTTACTAAGAGATCTTATTTTAGTAAGCAGCTGGATGCTTATTTATTAGAGCTGAAAAGAATTATCCTGACGACTTCTCCTAGTAACAGGATAAACAGCTCTACAACAACTAACTTGGGAACGATTCCAGTTGTTGAATGAGAAGAAAAATGAAACTATGTTGACTATTCAGTCCCTCAAACATTTCACAATGATAGGTTTTACTCTGCTTCTAGGCCTTAGTGAATGACAACTAGTCCAAAATCCATATTTTAAATGAAAACACTTTCCAAACCGCATTGTCTTCCTGCCCGTCTTCCTTCTCAACCAGAGTTTTCTGTATTTCCAGTCTGTAATATTGCATCTAACCCAGAGCTGGTTCCAAATAATTATCAACATGCTCATCATGAGCAGGCCCCAACTTTGGCACTGTAGGTCAGAAGTTAAAACAGATTATGAAATGGCCTAAGAACAGTCTGGCTGCTGAGTTCCCTCTGTCCCTGACACAGAGCACAGTGGGGAAAGCACACCATCCGTCCCAGAACCTCGCGACGTCCCGGTAGAATGAAGAGGGCTATCTGATGCGCCCGGGCTGCTGTGGGCTCCAGGTACAGGACACGATTCTCTCCGCTCCATGAGGCCCAGTGGACTTGGGTACTGGCCTGTCTGCCGAGCCAAACCTGATCACGACCCCTCCCAAGGCGGCCCCACAAACACTCCTCTCAGAAGCCCAGCCTGGGCGCATGGAGCGCGCCGGGGGCGCCGCAGTGCACTGTGGGAATCGTAGTTCTCCGGTGAGCTCCGTACCGCGCGGCCCTGCGACCGAGACTCCCGCTCCCAGAAGCCCCCGCGCAGGCGCCTCGCCCAGTCCTGCCACCTCACCTGTTCTCTGGACGTGACTGTATCCACCGAGTCGTCCAGCAACCGCTCCCGCGCGTGCTCTGGCCTCAGACTGTACAGCGATTCTGGCCAGACAGGGGAAGAGGTTGGAGGGCAATAATAGGTAAAGGAACTCGGAGAAGCCATGATCAGAAGAGCAGCGGGCTCGTATAGGAGACTCAGCTTCGTCCAGCAACAGCGCGCATTGAAACTCGAGCGGGCTCAGGCGCTACGGAAACTGGGTAGAGTCAAAAAGAATTTAAACGCGAATCTCTCCTCCCACCTATACTTCTTGGAGTGAATTACTGGTTTGTTGCCGCCCCCAGTAGGGCGGACGAGCTGCTGCAAGAGCTCAGCTTCCTGGAACGCAAGGAAGGATGTGTGTACCTGAATTTCATTTCTGAGAGACATGGAGTAGAATGTCTTGGTTTGCTATGCAGCACACCAGTATTCTGCAAATCCTCACTTAACTCTAATGCAGTTTGTAGTAATGTAGTTTGTAGTTTCAGATGCTCAAGAACCCAATGCATGTAACTTTAGAAACATTTATTACAGCTCTCTTGATACCTCAGTCATGCTGTTACTAACAGAATTATTGTAAACCTTTGAGTCCTTGACATCCTCCCAGAGAAGCCAGCAGCTTCTCAACAAAGGAGCAGAATTGCAGTCTTACTAGTAGGCAGTGATGGAGAGAGAAGGTATTGAAATTTTCCCACACTTCCTCCTCCCCCTTTTGGGAGTTACAGTGCAGGAGTAGAAACTAAAATGTAAAAGAAACAAGCATTAAGTGAAAAAAGCAAAGAAATGTTCATTTGATCGTCAGCAAATACGGAATACCTCTTATATGTCACTATTGTGCTAGGCCCTGAGAACGCAAAAATGAACCAAGCAAGCAAGGCCTGAGCTCTTGGGAACTTTACACATTAGAGCAATAGGCAGAAATAAATGAATGAGCCAGGTGTGGTGGAACAAACCTGTAATCCCAGCACTGAGGAGAATAGGGCAGGAGGATAAGGCCATCCTGGATTACATAGTGAGTTCAAGGCTAGCCTGAACTGCTGTCTAAAAAAGAAGTGAACGAACACAAATATATGAAGACTTATAATACATAATGGCATGATAGAAAATAACAGGGTTAATGAGAAGCATAGAAGGCAGGGGTCATTAGATTGGGAAGGGGGGTCAAAAGCTTCAAGTATATTTAACCTGAGACCTAAAGGAGAAGGATCATCCAAGAGAACAAAATAGGAGCTTCAAGAAGGAACAGGAAACTTGAGAGAACATACCAGAAATACATCATGTACTAATTTCTTATAATCTGGCAGTTAATCTGCATCTGTCCTGAACAAAAGAATTTTTCATTTTTATTGAGTGAGCTTAATCATCATATATTTTCCCATGGATATAATGTGAAGTAATGATTTTAGGAAAACATTGTTACCATTAGAAAACAAAAGAATCTTTTTTAGGACCTACAAAAAAAGGACTACACTGAAATTATAATATCAAGAGATTAAATTATTTAGGGTAGTAGGTTGTGGGAGAAGAATAGAAAATAAAAGATGTTCTAGGGGCTGGGAGTGTGGTCTACTGTAGAGTACATACTTAGTATGTGTGAGTGCCTGGGTTTAGTCTCTAGCACCACAGCATGCACACGCACGCACACACACACACACACACACACACACACATCCAGATGTTCTAGATAGACATAAGCTGTGCTTCCTGCTTAGAGCATTTTACTGTCTTCCCATTCAATTCCAAGGTACGTACCTAAGGCCACGTGATATTTTACAACTGGCCATCCCTCTTTTCAGTCTCTGGTGATAAATGGAAGCTCTCAGAATCCATAGATGACCCTGGACAGCACAGTGTTCACATATGAGTGAACACTATCACATGCCCATGTTGATGATAGTGTTGCCCCATTGAGACTTCAGGAAATCAGAATGTTACCAAATCTGAGAGTAAGACCATGGGTTTTAGGATCATGGATGTAGCTATAAAACATGAAAATGGGGGGCTGGGGATTTAGCTCACCTGCCTTGCAAGCGCGTGGTAGTGAGTTCGATCCCTGGTACCAATAAAAAAAAAAACATGAAAATGTTTGATAATGTTAGGGTCATATCTAAGGACTCAAGCTTCTTAAAGAGTTCTTGTGCTTAAGAGCTAGAAAACTGCCGTTACAGCCCACATCATGTATCCTGAATGCAATGTGTACTTTTATCTTTGCTTTTACCCTCTTTTTCTGTTTATTTGGCCCAAGCTCACTCTGCAAAGCCAGTTTCTCTCCCACTCTTCATTTTTACTTTCTCAGATAAAGTTTGCCACTGCTTAAAAGAAAGCTAGAAACTTTGGGTTACTAAATAACCGGAGTGATTTTATAACAAATTGTTTTTAGATGTCACAGGTGTACTTGAAACAATTACAAATTATATTGTACAAATAGAAATTCATTTCTGAAATGCGCTGTCTGTGCAGTGGGTCCCAAAGATGCTCAATGGAGCCTGGCAAGCATCTCCTAGAAGACAGTGTTCACTCAATAAACAGTCATTGGCTGGGGATATAGCTCAGCGGCACAGCGCCTGTCGGTCCTGAGTTCGATTCTAATACCAAAAATAAACATTTGTTGAATATCAGTTATGTGCTGCACACTGAGCTAAGTGCTAAGGAAACCATGGTGAAAGTCGCAGTCTACCTGAGTCTCTTACCAGAAGAAACAGACTTCAGATAATAATTTTAGTATCGGTTGTTGCCTTACAGTTGGGGAAAATGGCACGAGGCAGAAAGAAGCATAGCATATTGCAAGATAAGAAAGGAAACCTAAGGTAATCTGGAATAACTAGAGAGGCTCTGATGAGAACACAGCTAACTAACCCAGGGGAGGGAAGAGTCAGGCAGAGGAAACCCACTGATGACCAAAAATCTAGGGCAACCAGAAGCAAAGTCAGGAGGAGTCTGTACCCTACATAGACACCAAGCAGACTGTTCAGCCTTGGCTCAGTGATGGGCTGCTGGTTGTCTTTCCTCCTCAGGGTTGTTTTTTCAAGAGGATAAAACCAAGGAAAATAAAACAATAAAATCAATCCAAATAAACCAGTGTAAGTGATACAGGTCTTCAAAACCTTACAGAATCAACAAAAGTTATCATAATGCCTTTTGTTGTCATCAAAATAGCTGCAGATACCTTCAGACATAGTAAAAATTAAACAGAACGGAATAGAATAGAAACAATAAAAACAAAACAATGCATTAAAGGACTTCAAAACAAGCCAACAGTAAATCCAAACTAGCTACCATAATATGTCTTACTATCTTTTAAATAGCTGCCATCAGATTTAACATAAATAAAACAAAACAAAAAAGAATAAAACCCAGCCCAATAAAACAATGAAAATGACATGGTTTCCAGTGGGGATGGCTTCCTGGTGGAGCCTTGTTCTCTCCCTCCACAGTCCAGGAATGGTGCTCACTCTCGGAGAGGCTCAGGTCTGGCTGTCCCCACTCCAGCAGTGGCTGCACATGGTGCTGCCTTCCAGGCAGGGATCACCTCCTGGTAAGAACTGGTCCTCTACCCCCACAGCCCGTGAATCCCCACAGGGTTTTATTAAACCACTCTTCAAGAAACAATAAACATCAATATTGGCGATGCTGCAGAGAATGATGTACTTACTTAGGAAGCGGAAGTCTTAGTAACAATAATTAATCGCAATTCCACTTTGGACTGAAGATGACTTGGGCTTATTTTACTCAAATGCTTGATATTATTTTTCTAAATTAAACTGTGAATTGTATTACTTTTAAAATAATATAAAATGTGGACAGTGCTAGTTTGCACTTCCAAAAACAAGGAAACAAGGACAAACAGGCGGTCTAAATGAACCGCTAGAGGTCGCTTCTGACCCTATGGCAAGTGCAGGGAGGCTAGCTCTGAGACTTCTCTGTAAGTCACTCACACAGGCCCTGTGCAGGAATGAAATGTTTCTTTTAATATCTTGTAAAACCATGTAGCAATACAAACTGGAACATTTGGAAAGTGGAAATAGCTCATCTAGCATTCTACTGGATAGTTAATTCCCTCACCAATCTACACTCGTGTCATTACCTGTGTCTCCCAACTCCTATGTCCTTGTCCTTCTTGTTCCCCAACAAAGGAATAACTGCCCCAGCTCCTGGCTAGATCCAGCCCCTCTAGTTCACCTAACACCCGACCCAAAGTCCAAACACGCTATTTTTCCATTCTTCGGTGGGATTTTTCTTTTAGGAAAGAGGTCTTACTATGTTACCCAGACTGCCTCAAATTCCTGGGCTCAAGGGATCCTTCTGCTTCAGCCTCTGCAGTGGCTTGGGACTGACTACAAGTGTGTAACAGCCCAGTATGTGGGTGTGGGGGCAGGAAGTGCATTTTAATCCTCAGTTCCACTCCTCTGGCTCCTCTGTGTTATTCACTTGCTTTCAGGGCAGATGTCCTTGAGTCAGTCCTACAAATGTCTTCAATTCCTCTCCAGCTCTTTTGAACCCATAGTAATCCGGCTTCCTAATCATTACTAAGTCCAAGACCCATTCTCAGTCCTCATCTCATATTCCCATTTGGCTTCCCAGCAGCCTTTGAATGGCTGATCTATACTTTCTGAGCGTTTTCTTCTTGCAGGGCCTCACACTGGTTTTCCTCCACTGCCCTGCCATTGGAATGCCACAGGAGTCGATGCTCCGCTGTCTCTCGGTCCACACTCACTGCCCTGTGAGCTCAGGCAGTGCCAGTGTTTTAAGTATCACTGGCAAGTTGAAAACTCCCTAATTTGCATCTCCAAACTGCAGAGTTCATATCTCATGCCTATTTTTGTCCCCACTGGGATGACTAATAAGCATCTCAAAATGAACATAACCACTACAGAGTTACTGGCTTCTCTTTCAACCTGTATACTCGAGTCATCCCTATCTCAGTTATGATAAATCCTTCTAGTTACTCCACATACTGTTGGAGCTATTATCAATGCCTCCCTTTCTCTTACTCTGCATATGTCCAGCATCTGAGCCCTGCCTAGCAATTCCACTGCTGCCATTCTGGTCCAAACCACCATTACCAGACACTGGATTCTTTTTTTGTTTTGTTTTGTTTTGGTCTTTTTCATTTTTATTGGTACCAGGGATCAAACTCACGACTGCCTGCTTGCAAGGCAGGAGCTTATGCCGCTGAACTAAATCCCCAGCCCCAAGACATTGGATTCTTACACTAATCTAAT